ATTTACATGCCAATCAGAATTTGAATTATGTGCAAGAAGATTCAGATGGGAGTCAATTTGAAGAGTATACTATTGATGTAATAACTTATCAAGTCAGTGCTGTTGAAGAAAAGAAACACCCAAAACAGTTGTTTACATCAGTCAAAGTAAACAATGCTAAAGATGTTACATTTCAGTTGGACTGTGGAGCAACTTGTAATTTGCTATCACTAAAAGAATTCTCAAGCATTATGGGGGATCCCAAAGATCTCTATTTGAAGAAAACATCTGCAATACTCAAGATGTACAATGGAACCACTATGACTCCACTTGGAAAGTGCACTCTCAAGTGTGCCAAAGGTGAGATGAGTAGAGATGCAGATTTTTTTATAATTAATGAGGATGTCAGGCCTCTATTGGGTGCTGAGACATGTCAGGAACTGAACTTAATCAAGGTTATGGCAAGTGACATTTCAGAGTCAGAAACTGTGAACGCAGTAAATGACAAGGTTCAAACTGCCCACATTGTTCTAACCAGAGATCAAATTTTGAAAGAGTACAGTGATGTTTTTGAGGGATTAGGATGCATGGATGGCCCATACCATATGGAACTTGATGAAACTGTAAAACCTGTTGTCCACCCCCCTAGAAAAGTACCTGTCGCACTGAGAGACCGTTTAAAGGAAGAACTGGACAAATTAGTCAGAGAGAAAGTTATCACCCCCGTTACAGAACCTACAAGTTGGGTGTCTAGTTTGGTTTTAGTCAACAAGCCAGAGAAGTTAAGAATTTGTATTGACCCACAAGATTTAAACAGAGCCCTGCTGAGAGCCCATTATCCTCTCCCCACCATTGAAGATGTGGCCACTAGGCTATGCAAGGCTAAAGTCTTCTCAGTTTTGGATGCAAAGAATGGATTCTGGCAAGTTCAGCTAGACAAACCGTCGTCACTCTTGACCACGTTCAATACACCCTTTGGCCGGTATCGTTGGCTTCGCTTACCGTTTGGAATCAAAACAGCCCCAGAAGAGTACCAGCGAAGAATCCATGAAAGTCTACAAGGTCTTAAAGGTATAGAAGACATTGTAGATGACATACTCTGTATTGGCGAGGGTGACACCTATGAAAGTGCGGTTAAGGATCATGACAGAAACCTAATTGCACTCCTGGAGAGATGTCGTGAGAAGAATATCAAGTTGAATCCAAAGAAGTTACAGTTGAGAAAGCAAGAAGTGCCCTACATCGGTCATGTACTGACCCCTGATGGCCTCAAGCCGGATCCAAGTAAAGTCAAGGCAATTGTAGCAATGCCTACCCCTTCAGACAAGAAGGCCCTGCAAAGGCTGCTTGGAATGATTACGTATCTTGCGAAATTTCTGCCTAACCTGTCTGATGTGACGCAACCATTGAGACGTCTATTAGACAAAGATGTGCAATGGCACTGGAACGATACACACGAGAACTCATGGAAGCAAGTGAAACAGTTGATCACAAGAGAACCAGTGTTGAAGTATTTCGACCCCAGTAAAGAAGTAACTCTGCAGTGCGATGCATCGGAATCTGGACTTGGTGCTGTCATACTGCAAGAGGGTCAGCCTATAGCATTCTCGTCAAGAGCACTCACGAGTACTGAAAGAAATTATGCTCAAATAGAGAAAGAGCTGCTCAGCATAGTTCACGGGTGCATACGCTTTGACCAGTACGTTTATGGTATACCAGTTACAGTACAGACAGATCACAAGCCGCTAGAGAGCATTTTCAAGAAATCTCTGCTTTCAGCCCCCAAAAGGCTCCAAAGAATGTTATTACAGCTCCAGAGGTATAGCTTGAATATAGTGTACAAGCCTGGAAAGGAACTATTCATTGCTGATACACTCAGTCGAGCATTCCTTCCCAATAAGCCGAGTACAGAAGAGTTGAAGTCGGAGGTTTTATTAGTCAAACAGGAAGAGTATCTAATCAAATCCATTGAAGAGATCAACATGGTCGAGTTTCTGCCCATCACAAGTGAACGCCTTGTTGATCTCAGAAGAAAAACTGAACTTGACGAAGGTCTTCAGCAGTTGAAACATATTATCAAGATTGGTTGGCCAGAAACAAAAGAAGAAGTCCCATCAGAAATCAGGAGATATTTTGACTTCAAAGAAGAGCTCAGCATCCAAGATGGTATCCTCTTCAAAGGAAATCGAGTAATTGTACCTGTAGCGCTAAGGCCCCACATGATAACGCAAGTACACTCAAGCCACCTTGGTATTGAAAGCTGTTTAAATAAAGCAAGAGATGTCCTGTTTTGGCCTGGCATGACCGCCGAGATCAAGGACTGTGTTTCTAAATGTGAAACATGTAACACTTATCAGACAAACCAGCAGAAAGAACCACTCATACCTCATGATCCACCTAAACGCCCTTGGTCTCATGTGGCAACAGACCTTTTCAGTTTTGACAACAAAGAATGGTTCATCATCGTTGACCACTGGTCAGATTACTTTGAACTGAACCAATTATCCAGTACCAACTCAAGTTCTGTTATCAAGTCTCTCAAGAATCAGTTCGCACGCCATGGCATACCTGATACTCTGTATTCTGACAACGGACCACAGTTTGCTTCCAGAGAATTCAAAGAATTTGCATCCGCCTGGCATTTTGACCACCAAACGTCCTCACCACACTATCCACAATCAAATGGCAAGATTGAAAATGCTGTAAAGACAGCTAAGAAGTTACTAACCAAAGCAAAGGCAAGTGGACAAGATCCATACTTGGCCATTTTGGACTGGCGCAACACACCTTCACCCAGTATTGGATCATCACCAGTACAAAGATTGTTTGGACGACGCACAAAGACACTGTTACCTACAGCAGGAACTTTGTTACAACCAAAGATCATGGAGGGAACTGAAGACAAGCTCAAAGAAAGAAAGACGAAACAAGCACTGTTTTACAACAAAGGAACAAAAGAGCTTCCTGAGCTTCAACCCGGAGACACAGTGCGCATGAAACCGCTGCCATCAGACAAAGGAAAGCTGTGGAGAAAGGGATCGGTTGTCAAACAAGTAGCACCTCGCTCCTACGAGGTAGATCTCCAAGGAACTATGTTCAGGAGAAATAGAAGACACTTGGTAAAGACCAAGGAACCATCGCCACAGTTGGATTTGGAATCCCAAGAAAACCTGCCAGCTAGTAGTACCCCTTTGCCTGTGGAAGGACCACCTGTGATGCAAACAAGATCTGGTAGAATCATTCATAGACCTGGACGACTACGAGATTTTGTTTAAGGAACGTTGTTTAGGACTTTGAACTGTCATCGTCTGACTGATTGTTTGATTGCCCTATTGTAAATAAGTTTTCTTTTCATGAGAAGGGAGATGTGATATTATGAAGTAGTAATCAATACCGCTGACATAATATCGCATACTGAGAAAACGTTTCGGGTACGTTCTTGTAAGTTGATTTGAGCTTTCGCTGATTAAAGACTGTTTGGTTAAGTTTGCTCGTTTTGAAGCTAAGGACTAACACAGGCACCTGTAGAGTTTTCAAGTGACAATTGTCAAACTTTTCATGTGCTTTACACTGCGACTAAAATGTTGATGCCCGCTTATTCTATGACAAATTTTTCGGTAGTTACTAAAATCTTGAGTCCATAATTTAAAAAAAAACTAAGGAATTAGCTCTGGCCTTCTGTTTTAGTTCCACAAATTAAATTTATAATTATATGCACTGCAAATGGAAACAGAGTATTTTAACCAATGAAGCAAAACTGAAAACAATAAATAATAATTCTACCTCTTAATTAAGCTAACTAGTGTGACTGCATTTAGACTTTATTTTCTTTGCATTACGTTGAATAGCAGGTTAGTATGTCACAGCAGTCTAATGAATCAAGCCTTTAATCTATGATGTATTCAAGCTTAAACATTTATGGCTTCTGTCCAGACATAGAAAATGAAACATCTGATGTTATCTCCAGAGTGTACAGATCGTAAATGTATATGTTGCTTTTATGTGGATAGTGGTGAATGTGCAAATTTGTAACTACAATCTTGGACAAAAGTCCTTGGGGTAATACTGCAATATTCATATTTTTCTGTTATTTCTCGGTTCCCACTTAAAACAGTGTGCCAGCGTTTTCGACATTTTTTTGCAGTTCTCCTTCCCCCTACCCTATACAAAGTTGAAACTCGGAAAAAAATTCTGGATACATGCGTCCAACATTGTTTGTGGGGTGAGGGGAGCGATTGGACCTGTGTGCGGGATTGGAAAACACCCCAGAAATGCAAAAGTGTCCCAAGACTTTTGTCCATAATTGTAGTCTTATATAGACACAGCCTTAGACAGCCCCAATTCTGGGAAAACTGTATATATTAAACTAGAAATGACTGAAGGTCAGTGAGCACTGGTGATATAGATGGGAGAAATCCGAGGTTAAGTTTATATGGGTAGTTTAGGAATGGAAAGAAAATGCTATTGAAGAAGACTACCTGAAAACCCACACGACAAAGTCATGCAAAGTAAGATAACCTGTGCAATTCAATCAGTCACAGAGCTTCTGCATGATTTCAGTCCCCTAGTCAAGGAACTTTATGGGTCAACCCATAGCAATATTGCAATTATCAAATTCACAGTACGTTGTTGACTCTTAGTTTCTCCATTTTGTCTCCAACCATCCTTAGTGGTTTTAGATGTCTATTATTTCAAATGCTTTTCCCTATATCCCATTAAGGCACAGCCATCATCATCATCGCTTTTTCCGAACCCAGTGATGCACAAGGCACAAACAAAAGCTTCTCCACAACAGTTGAATTTCTTGCACGCATTTTTGTAACCAACATGGTTTCGAGATGGCCGGTCATTTGCCCCTCCTAAAACATAAGCATCGGATTCTCTTTTTAAAAAATTCTCTCTGTGCCACTGAGGCTTTGGTAGCTCGTACTGTAATTCTGTAGATTTAAATATAGTAGGCAGATGGATGTCATGCAGCAAAACAAAATTCAATGTAAAAAGCATTTTATTAATTATATTCCCAGGTAAAAGATTTACAAAACTGCAAAGAAAAACAACCACAACTGGAGCAAAGAGAAAAAGAAACTGAAGCACCTTTCACAATGAATGTAGAATTGAATTTTTTCTGGTTGATTTTGGTTGGCCTTTCATTTGGTACAAGAATGTGGCAACTGACTTCTCCTAAACATGTTATGTAAGTATAATATTATAGTTAATGGTACATGTTCATTATTTTGTTTAAATACTGGGGATCCCCACTACTTTACTGTTATTTTGAAGCCTGGTCATCACCTAGGGAGACAGTATAAGCATATAAGCATAGCGTGGTCCTCAATAGTGACACAAGTATAAGCATAAGCATAGCATGGTTCTCACTAGCCATGCAAGCACCAGCATAAGGGAAAGAAGCTTCTGCGTTAGTGAGGATGGCCTTGACATATAAGCACAGGCATAAACACAAGAATATCAACTTATGCTTATGTTAAGGCCATCCTCTCTGGCACATAAACTTTTTGTGGGTGACAAGAGGAGCCCACAATCCTAATCTCCAGGTTGTTATTACGCATGCGTCGCATGTATGTAGCCAACATTCGTTGGGACTTCCACTAAGAATGAATGGAATGCACATAACGCAATGTGATCATGTGCGTTTGGACCTTCTATCACTCGTAATCTGATCATGCATGTTTTGACCATCTCTCACGTGAAACTTGCACAAAGCAAAGCGTTGGAGCCGTTCGATTGTTGTCACCCACACTCCATAACCTTTGGTTATATTTACTAGTTATGTTCATAATTATTCTCATGCTTGTGTTATGCTTATGCCTATGTTTGCCTTGCTAGTGAGGACCAGGATTTAGACAAGTAAGAGGTCAAATCCCAAGGTCCTTGATTCAATTTTCCATTCAAACCACTTCCTGGATTTGTTTCTTGGTACATGTACAGTCAACTCTCTCTAAGACGGACACCTTTGGGACCGGCACTAAGTGTCTGTCTTAGAGAGGTGTCCATCTTATAGAGGTGTCCGTTAAGAGAGAGTCGACTGTACAGGTGTAGCTGTACAGTCAAACCCCGTTTTATGGACACCCACTTAATACTGACCCTCTTTATACTGACACCCTGTTAATACAGACACTTTCCTTGGCCCCCTTCAACGTCCGTACAGTGGAGCCTCAATATAACGAGGGGCCAAGGGACTGACATAATTATGTTTGCTATAAAGGGGTTTTGTTCTATTGAGGTTCTTTTCAATATAAAATACTATTCCTGGGGCTAGGCATATTATCGTTCATTATACAGAGTACTTTGTTATGTAACAGCCCTTTAAATAAAGATTCCACTGTATTAACAGGGTTTCACTGTATTTCAACTCTTTCAATACTTCCTGCTTATAAATGGCCTGATTTGTCCCCTGCCTTTTCAGTTTTTAACCATGCTATGTTTCATTGATTTGTGACTGTTTGAGTAGAGTACCTAGATAGGGCTAGTATGATATTTAGGATAAATTATATATATTTTTTAATGGTTTGACATTCAGATTAAGGTTACCGGATACCTTCGGAGGCGTCCAATACGCGAGTAGTGTAGCGCATTCCAGTTAAACTCAAGGCTGCAGATTCCTAAAACCCTATATCAAATCAAAGCTTTTTAAACTGGCTTTCTTAATAATTAAAACCAACAGCTTTTTGAAAAAAATATTATGCACTGTTCATTTTTTTAGGATTTTTTAATGTGAACAACAGATTTAGCTTTCAAAAGCTAAAACTCAGATTTGTTCTTTGGGAAGTCAAAACCCCCCCCCCCCCCCCACAAAAAAAAAAAAATTAACTCCCTCGGAGTTATTGCTTCTTAAAGTGTCCCTTCTACGCAGGAAATATAAGATGAGAAAAAGGCAATTGAAAATCCCACACTTCATAAACAAACTCTGCCCAAAAATACTTCTCAGAAAACTGGGCCAATCAGCGCTTGGATAAGATAACTTCTGTTCAATTTTAGCACACTTTCTGTTTTTAAATAGCTTTTGAGCCATGTTTGTGTTGTGGTCAATAGTGAGATCAACTTTTTTTCATGGCTGTGGAAATGAAAGACCACAAATCCAGCCACCTCTTGGTCAAAAGCAAACCAGCCGATAGAAAGAAAAGAAGAAAGGACAGTTCAGTGGCTTCCACTGAGGCCAATATTAACATAGAGAGAGGATAATATAATTTTAAAAGCGATGCAACTGATTGGGTAACCTGTAGCTTTCTTTTGTTTCAGTTCTAGTTTAGCTTACGTTTTTCTCTTACTACATTGGCAAATAACTGAGTCCTGAATTATGATTTTTATGTACTGTCACCACTAGGCTGACTCTGACTACTCTGACTAAGTAAATGTAAAATGTGCCACTCAGCCTAGATGAGTGGTTCATAACGTCCTTTTTGAAAATGTTGTTATTTCTCAAATGCCTATCAAATATTTTTTGGAAAAAAAAAAAGACGTTTCTATCCATTGCTTCTTTAATATTCTTCTGTCGTGCTGTTGTTCATTGAGATTCCCTTTTGCCCTTCACTTTGTGCCCTTTTTTGAAAGAAAAGATACTGCATCGAGTCGCTAACTAAAAGAAAAACATTCCTGATTATTCATCCACCTCTCATGGAAATTCCCGCAAAAAACACCATAGGGCGGTCAATCAAAAGAGTAACTTTTACTTCTGGTTCAAACAAAAAACTGTCATTTCTCCATCAAAATTTACTCTTCTCCATTTTTTCTTTCTTTCTCATAAAGATCACACTAAAACCCTTACTATGAGCCAACAATAAAAATTTTAACATTTTTCATCTGAAGGTATCCGCTAACCTTTAATAAGTAAGTATGTAACCGTATTTAAGCAGCTGTCTACAAAATTGATTTCTCTTTTTGATCTTAACTTCACAGATTTGATGAAGTACATTTTGGCCAGTTCACAAATTTTTTCATGAGGAATCAGTTCTTCTTTGATGTTAATCCACCACTAGGAAAGCTCATATTTGCATTAACAGGTAAAAACTTGGTTATGCTGAAATAGGGAATGAAGTATAGATTGAAGTAAGAAAATACTCAGACTGTACTGTGAACTGTAATTTTCAAGTTCCGTGGACTGGGCATTTCCCGCAGCTGCTAGGAGCATGATCCCCAGCTTCTTTTGTAGGAACAAAAGGAGAATTAGAATCAAAAGAAATTCCTTGCTGTTCAATTGGATCAATCAAGGTTTCTGGGAAACTGCCCACCTACCCCTCCCCTAAGCTATCATTTTGCCCTAAGTAAGAAGTAAGTGTTAATTTTTTACTTTAGGGCAGGGGTAGGTGGGTCGTTTCCCAGAAATCTAGACTGATTCCAATTTCCCACCTACTGGTTAATGTATATGTTACAGGTCAAATTTGATTTCAAGTTAATTAAACCTAGGACGATTTTCAATTGCCTTTGACCCATAGCCCTAGGAGACAAAGGAGATAGAGAATCAACCTAAATGATTAAATGATTTTCACCTGAAAATCAAATTTGACCTGTAACATACAGGTCAAATTTGGTAGACTGTTGGTAGATTGTCCGCAGACAGTTTACTGACAGTCGGCTGGCAGAGTTTTAGCGGAGCTCTTCTTCACTTTTACCATATTATTGGTCCCTCTTTATTGGAATGCTGCTGTTAGAGTTAATCCCTAAATTTAATTGTAAGTTATTTATAGGAATCTGAGGCCTTAACTCTCAAAAGATCAGTTCTAAAACCAAGCTAGTTAAAAGGAAATGTGAAAATGAATTAATCAGCATGTCACGAGTGTGAGACAAAGAAAAAATCTGAGTCCCCGACAGGATTTGAACCTACGACCTCCAAAACACCGAGCAGGTGCTCTATCCACTTGAGCTACAGAAAACTCATGGAGTGCAAGGCCATAATTATACTAGGTTGATATTTGAGACGTGTCCTGCATACTGCTTGGATTAGCAGTGTTAAAAAAAATTCTGTTGTTATGGCACAATTATGGGCCACTTGCACAAAGAGGTTAGGTGACCAATGCTTCCTTTAAACAATGGGCTGGAATCTTGCTGGTGCCAAAAATTGATGGAGCGCATAAAAATTATCTTACACTCGAAATTTGAGAGGAAACGCATTTAAGGGAGATATTTTATGGCACGTTGATTTTTCAACAAAGTAGTATGATTTGTATTGACCTCCATGTTGGAGGGCATACTCTTGCCCTCCAACATGGCGGCCAAAACTACTTTTTGCTTGTATCTTGTTAAACATTTAGATAGTTATGCTCAGATGTGCTAAAAACATTACCACATTATCTTTTCAACAATTTCCTTGAAGTTTAAGTGCAAAAATCTGTTCAGAAAGAGGTAATGTGTAGTTCTAGAAACTGTCCATCCTCCCCCCACAGAAGGGATTAGAAATTCCTGGGGTTGGGGGGTTCTCAAAGGCCCAAAAATATAAGTAAATGTATGAAGCTTGACTGGAATTTCGAGAGAGTTGGGGGGGTCTAGGGAAAAATCCCTTCCGTGGGGAAGGTATGGATAATTTTTGGAACCACACAATTCATAGTTTTAAAAATCACATTTTGGTCACGTGACCAGCTACGAACTTACTCATTATTTTTGAGAAAAATGGTGTGGGTTTGAAAAACTTAATCACTATTATTTTGTTTAAGATATGACCCACTAATTGTTTTTTGAAGGCAAATTCATATAACTTTCACTTTCATAAAAATGATGTCACATGACCTCCTAGTGCATGGCCTACACACTTCCCTCACATAATGCGTAAACCTACAAAAAGGCAGTTCACGAAATAAAAAATAAAAAAAATAAAAGGTTTAAATAAATAAAAGGTTTTTCTTGTGTTAAAAGATTTTGACTGATCATAAGAGTTGCAAATAATAGCCAAGAAAAGTTTACAATTTTACATGTTCCTCACATAGGATTTCTGTGTTACTTAGACTCAGACAAGATATTGTTATGAGGAAGTTGGTTAGAAAACAAGGGATNAATGTATGAAGCTTGACTGGAATTTCGAGAGAGTTGGGGGGGTCTAGGGAAAAATCCCTTCCGTGGGGAAGGTATGGATAATTTTTGGAACCACACAATTCATAGTTTTAAAAATCACATTTTGGTCACGTGACCAGCTACGAACTTACTCATTATTTTTGAGAAAAATGGTGTGGGTTTGAAAAACTTAATCACTATTATTTTGTTTAAGATATGACCCACTAATTGTTTTTTGAAGGCAAATTCATATAACTTTCACTTTCATAAAAATGATGTCACATGACCTCCTAGTGCATGGCCTACACACTTCCCTCACATAATGCGTAAACCTACAAAAAGGCAGTTCACGAAATAAAAAATAAAAAAAATAAAAGGTTTAAATAAATAAAAGGTTTTTCTTGTGTTAAAAGATTTTGACTGATCATAAGAGTTGCAAATAATAGCCAAGAAAAGTTTACAATTTTACATGTTCCTCACATAGGATTTCTGTGTTACTTAGACTCAGACAAGATATTGTTATGAGGAAGTTGGTTAGAAAACAAGGGATTAATACACAGTCATGCTGCTTTGCAAAGATTTTGAAAATTTGATGTTTAAACCAATCAGAAGTGTAGTAGAGACAATAGTAAAGTGAGCGCCTCCTTGCATTCTGGCATGTTCTTTGCACTTGGTTCTTTCCTTCTTATCTGTATTTTGGGCATTTTTGTATGATCATTCAACTTTTTTAGCACTGAATTTCCAATTTGTTCTGTAACTTTTGATCACAATCAAAAAGGGGAAAACCCTGACACAATAACATTTTTTGAGGGCTTTGACTTCCAAAAGACTAGAACAAATCAATTTAGTGAAAAAAAAACCATTGCTGTGAGTTTTAGCTTTCAAAAGCTGATCCTGACATTTGCAATAAAGAATCCTGATAGAATCGGTGTTGTATAAAAAACTGTTGGTTTATGAAGAAGGCTAGTTTAAGAAGCTTAATTTGATATAGGGTTTAATGTATCTGCAGTATGACAGACCACTTTCGATATATTAAAATTCATACGTGGCTCTGCGTCTTCGGGAAATGAAACAAAAATGTATTATCCATCTCTGAGCCTCAGGATGATTTCTCGTCTTTTATTCCCCCAAGCCTTGCAGTCATGAATGAATTTTAATATATCAAAATTTGTCTATTGGAACACACTACATTACTTGCACATGAGACACCCCCAAAGGCTTCCAGTAACCTTAAACAGATACCAGTAATGTCTGCCTCCCCATGAAGTTAATAATTTTTATAATCATTGTTAAAAAAATGTTTGATAAGTAATGAGTTCCATTTTTGCACAGCATATTTTACTGGATATGATGGGCAGTTTACATTTGCTGATATCGGTCAAGGTATTGTATAATCAACAGTGAATTTTTCAAGTTTTTGTTTTTATAACTTTAACATTAATTACCTGAAACTCTTAACGTCATGCAATCTGACTGAACTTTTAATTATCATCACAGAACTTGGTGACTATGAATACCATGTGTGGTATTTACGGTTTGTCTCCGCCCTCCTTGGTAGTCTTGTTGTACCAATGGTATACGAGGTGGGTGGAAAAATGTTGTAGAATTATGTTTTGGCTCAATATCAATACTCTGCCAGAGCTACAGAGAGTTTTTGTTAAACACCTAGGTCTCTGGAAATTCTACTTTAACTTCAGCTTAAAAAATGTTTGGTCTTTAAGACCCCTCATTTCAACCAAAAGCCATCATTTCACCTCAAAAAATGTGTATCAACTCTCTAGCTTTTGAATACAAACAATCTTTCATGCAACTTCAAGGCTGTGCTCTAAGGAAAATTGAAGGGAGCCCAGTGCCCTGAACCTGTGAAAGTTAGGGTGCCCTGCATAGGATTTCTATGAAAAAACTAAGATTTCCTTCTCACCGAAGAGCAAAGGTAAGGTGCCACAGGGACATGGGACGCTGCAAGAGCACAGCCAGGCGATTATAACAGTACTTAAAGACCATGCTGTATGATAATTTGGATATATTCAGTCTTCATACTTTTTATTATCAATGAAGAATATTGCCCTCTTTTTATTGCTCTTTACTTTGATTGTTTCCAATTTGATGCAGATAATTGTAGAGCTTGGATGTTCTCATTGGGCTGCTGCCCTTGGCGCCTTCTTAGCAACATTTGGTAAGAACTAAGGCTAAATATTCCATTGCCACAAATGATCTCTTTCACTTAGCAACAGTAAACATCCAAGGATTTTGGGCTCCCCACTCTAGCACAAAACTAACCTTACTTTTTTCCAAGAGCCACATAGCTCCTTAATAATAGATTATCTTACAGTGGTATATACCTAGCCAATTCTTAAAAGTTAGTTTCCAGAGAGTTTAAAGGTAAATTAAAAAAGGTTTTAGGCTTTTATTTTAATAGCCAGACCTTTCAGTGCAGATAGTGTATACTATAACCATTTATTGTTTCTCAAAATATATTTGTGAGCAACATAAGTTGACACTTGCAAGGATCCATGTAAAAGGTAACTACTTCAAAAGAAAGATGCATGGAGAATATGCAATTTTCAGAAACAAACTGCCATGCTATGCACATTTTCAAAGATTCACAGTGTCTTTACACAAGATGTGGTGAAGAATTCAATCACCAATTTGGCAACTGTTTTTAAGTATTTGGTCACTCACACAGAAAGTTTAGACACATTTGGTAACTGTACACTAACTTGCATGCATGTCTTTTTTGACAGCCTTTTTATTCTTGTAACGCTACACTATTATTAAATTTCTCTGCAGATAACATGCTCGTGGTGCATAGCAGACTTATTATGTTGGATGGTCTTCTAGTGTTTTTTTGTACTGCATCATTCCTCTGCTACCTTAAGTTCCACAAAGAATTCAGTAGGTGAGAATGTGAATTGTACACATTTTNACAGTGTCTTTACACAAGATGTGGTGAAGAATTCAATCACCAATTTGGCAACTGTTTTTAAGTATTTGGTCACTCACACAGAAAGTTTAGACACATTTGGTAACTGTACACTAACTTGCATGCATGTCTTTTTTGACAGCCTTTTTATTCTTGTAACGCTACACTATTATTAAATTTCTCTGCAGATAACATGCTCGTGGTGCATAGCAGACTTATTATGTTGGATGGTCTTCTAGTGTTTTTTTGTACTGCATCATTCCTCTGCTACCTTAAGTTCCACAAAGAATTCAGTAGGTGAGAATGTGAATTGTACACATTTTAAACTTCTGAATGTTACGATTTACTGCTGTTTAGTACCTGTTAACTGGCTATTTTGGTCTGCAACTGTTCGTAGTGAAAAAAATTGTTTTTAAGACTGTGGTTGGTAAATGACCAACAAACAACACCTCAAGATAATGTCAGTTTACTGAGAATTTTTAAGGAGACAGAGGTGGGTAACCCTCAGAAGCTTCAAAACACTCATTGTTTGGCATTTTTCTATGCTTTTACTTCATCAGTGTTTCAATATACTACTGGTAGTTATAGCAGTCAGGTTTGCTAAAGCTAACTCAGTTGTTCCTTAAAGAGCATTCTAAGATCGTGGGGTTTGCAGGCAACCATTTCCTCCTCTTCCCTCCCCATTCCCCTTTGCTCTTGCTACATGTACAACTTTTATGCCATAACTTGATCAGTTTTTGTTGTTGTTCCAACTGTCTCAATGAACTTGCATGGAAATGCTTCCTAGGCAGGCTAATGAAACACTACTTGATGGTGTAATTCTTTTTAAATTACTTTTCTTGTAGACCCTTTACATATAAATGGTGGATATGGCTGGTTCTTACAGGCATTGCTGTAATGGGTGCCTACAGGTGAGCTTGATTGTCTACCAAGGCTGCATAAATGTGCCACAGTGGCTTCAAGACTGACCCCAGTTGTGAACCCTTTGAACTGTTAGCAAACTTAAATTTTGAATGATGGTATTACCGTCACAGTTGCAATCGCAATTTCAGTAATGTTGCCGATTAACTGGAAAACATTTCAGGCCTTCAATGGGATTTGAGCCCATGGCCTAACATTAGCATTGCAGGGCTCTACCAACCTAGCTCTGAGCTAAATATATTTGATGGAGGAAAATTTCAGTCTAGTCAACACAAAGAAACAGCCTTAGGCCATTTACATGAGTATGTGTTACTTTGATTTTTGAAGAGAAAATAAAATCCATTTGAATGGCATTTATGAGAGCTTCCCAAAAAAAAAAACATGTGATGGTTTATAAATGAACAAAGAACTGGGAGGAGAGGAAGAATTCTGGCTAATCAAAAAGTCTGGTTGATTGAGGTTTGGATGTTCAACATTAGACTGTAACCCCTTCTCCCCTGAAAAAAAAATACACACACCAGTATTATCAGTCTAGCTAGTCTATAATTTTTACTGGTGTCAACTCTCTGTTTCAGCACTAAATACACAGGGATATTTACTTTTCTAACTGTTGGATTTTTAACTGGCCGAGACTTGTGGAAACTTATTGGGGACCACTCACTTCCAGGTGTAAGTACAAGTACAAATACCACTGAATCATAGTCAACAGTTACCGGCACCGTACAAACGACTTCTTGACGGAATCAAGCAAAAGTAACTACAAGAGAACGACTGGACAAATGACAATTTGACAATAGATGACAATAGATGGATCGAAAGGCACCAATGACATTATGAGTCTACATAGCCAATAACATCACCGCTTAACTAACAGACGACCAATAACATAGCGACTTAATTGACCAGTCGGGTCAATAACCAGAGTTTAATACCATCAACATTCAGGACTACGTTCACCCGGAAGATCATACATAACCTACTTAAATGACTCCTGGGTTCAAACCTTTCACACAAGAAAAAGCATTATCCATAGCACTCTTCAACAAATGGGCTCATTGTCTCAAATTTATAAGGGGAGTTTTCAATACAATTCTCATTTTTTGCATCCTTCTGTACATTAATTTATCAGTGGTTTATACTAGGGATAACAGTCAAGTTTGCTAAAGTTAATTTAGTTGTTCCAAAAAGAGCTTTGTAGGTAATGAACCAAACAGGCCTGGGAATATATATCATTGCAGTAATCAAGTTTTGTTTTTTTTTTGAGATAGTTCAAACTTACACTTTTTTTTACTATTACAAAGTCATAGTCGTGTTGTGATATTTTCCTAGAAGGCAACTTCAATACCTTGTAATAAGCCAGAAATTGGTTTAAAAATGATACATCTATAGGTTACCCTAGAAAACACACCAAGCATCTCAATGCAGCCAAATGGAGATCACGTAGTGGGCTTGGACTATGGTAAATAGTTTTTCTCAGCTAGAACCTCTTGCTTCTTGTTTCTAAAATTTCTTGTTTTATTTTCCACTATAGAGAGAGCTCACAAAACATGTTATAAGCAGAACTGCCTGCCTTGTTATTTTCCCTGGGATCCTGTACCTACTTCAGTTTTACATTATGTTTGCTGTATTATCAAAGAGTGGAGCCCATGATGATATGATGTCCAGTGCTTTCCAAGCCAGTCTTCAGGTACCTATATATTTTGCTACATACATTTTTACATGCTTCTCTCTACTTCTAATACAAGGGAAAATTTATAGTGATGTCAATTATGTGTCAGTGTTCAATATTAATTTACTTGCTCTGTATTTATGATTAAATTTTGCTACTCCCAGGGAGGATTGGCAAAGGTCACACACGGTCAAGCAGAGGGTAAGTCTTCCAAATAGTGTTGTTTATCTTACACTGTGCCTTTTTGTATTAATAATGTTTCATCATTGCATTTTTATATTACAAACAACCAAAGTTGGCCTGAAGTTCAGCTCGGCTGGTTAGCCTTAAGGCATAGAGCACATCTATTTATAGACACTTTTATGGTTTTTTTTTAACTTTTGAAGTGGACCAGTTAGTGAAAATCCGCCGACACCACTGCAAAAAGGGGCTTAAAACTAGGAAAGGTCCTGAGTTTGATAGTGATCTGTGGGAAAATAACAAGGATATTGCTCTGCAAAGTCGCAAAGTTTTACAGATGTTTGTATGGTGGGGGAGCTGGGGGGGGGGGGGGGAA